GTACTCATAGTCGTGCATGCCGTAGTCGTTAGACCATTGACCTCGCATCGCAACAAAGCCGGGACGGAGCACGCCGGGTTCTCACCGGACCAGGCTCTCACATCACCAAGCGCGAAGCGCCGTGAGACAATTGGCGAGTCGCATGAAGGGTGCGCTGCATCCTGCTTAGGGTGTTCGGCATCTCGTGCTTACTTCCTTGCGTACGGATGACAGCTGCGTATGACTTAATTTATTTTCTGGTGCTTTCACTTTCAGAGACAGTTGTAAGCACTGTGTAACTGCCTCGAGGGTGCTTCGCCATTTTAATACAACGTGGTGCGATTATCCCCCTTGCGCGGGGGGGCGTATTTCGCCGACAGCGCGATGTGTCGGTAGGTCGGGGGGCAAATGCGCCACAACCGACAGAGAGTCATGCGTAGTAGAACACCACACGCTGGGGCCTTGGGGGAGTCCATGAGCGTGACTCCACGAGAGATGATGTACGAGGGGAGCAAACCTCGGCACCCCTTTTTGAAGATAGCAGTAAAAGCGTTTACAAGCCCAGGAAAAAACTTCCTACAGTGTAGGAAGCTAACGCCAAATAGAGGCAAGGTGGGAGACTAAGCCGAACGAGCGCGGTGGCTGTACAAACTTTACACACCTGTCCGGACACGGTGAGGAACGCCGGCTTCCCGAAGAAATCCTGGGCGTAGTCCGTGGAACCGTCCTCAAGGGTCGGCACCTTGGACACCTGAAGCATCAGCAAGCAGCGGCAGAGGCAGCGCGAACGCAACAACAGCAGCAGCAGTACCGGACAAAACGGGTTCAAGCTGAAAAACCCTGATTTTAAGTGATGACAGACTAGATCTGCCCGCCGTAGCGCTCCCCCGGAGCCTGCAACATGTGGGGAGGGGAGGGAACCCTCTACAGCACACAAGTCTGCAAGCGGGCCCGGCGTGGCCCCACCGCTACGAGCATAGCGAGATGCTCGAGCGACTGCGACTGCGTCCCTGCTGTACGGTGACGCAGTTTGGGTGCATTTGTCTCTCCGCATGTGGAACGCTGGAAAGATTGTCCATGTTGCCACGCGTCTGAAATAGAGATAGGCCCCATCTACAACATGTGTACGACACAACACACACGACTGGGTAATGGACATTCTGCGCCACTCTGATCGGAAGTAGGGAACATTGGGATAGTCGCAAGTGCATCCGAATGATCCTTAAAACAAACTCACACACAGCGGCAAGGAACAATAGGCAACCGCGAGTGCCCTGCCGCCCTGCAGCCCCTGGGCAAAGCCAATAACACCGGCACAAAATGACGTCGAAGTTGTCCAGTGCTGCTGTCCTTGACACAGCTGGCGAGGCGTGCTTGCAAGCCAAACGCTAGTGTCATGGGTGCCCTCCACAAAAAGACATTCAGCACCAGTGCACACAGCAACCAGCAAGCAAGCGGACGACGTCACAGGTGCGGCCGTCCTGGTGCCCATGTAATTGATTTTGCGGAGGGTACATGCATTTACAAACTTACCTCGGAGGGCAGAGTGGTGACACGGAACATCTCGCCGGCCCCCTCGCAGTCGGAGGCGGTGATGATGGGGGACTGGAGGTACAGGAACCCCTCCGCTCGGAAGAAGTCGTGGGTAGCCTGAACGGGCGAAACAGAGCGCAAGTGTGTGTGCGTGTGGGGCACTTAGATTCAAAGGTGGTGGTTTAGTGCTTACGTTTTCGCGTGCTTCGACACACTTAATTTGTCCTTTGCCTGTCGCCCGAATCTCATCTAGCCGCGGATCTCGCAACAAAAAACAACACACGTAACCACCCTTGACACCGATTCTTACGCTGCAACTGGCATCGATCAGCACCGCCACTCCTAAGCGCACAAGCAGGGTAACCGAAATCTCCGGGTGTGAGCCACGGAAAGCGAAACCCGAGGGGGGGCCCCGGCCCCCCCCCCCCCCCCCCTTCACCTGGGCGAGAGCGGACCGGACCCTGGCGACGGCGGCGATGGTGTTGGTCCGCGGGCGGAGGTGTGCGATGCCCCGGAGGAACTCTAGGGTGTGGCGCTTCTTTTGCAGGGGGTACTCCGTGGGGCACTCTCCGACAACATGCACCTGATTGGTGGGCCAGCGGTTATGGAACGAACAAACGCGTGAGCAAATGACGACGACGAGGACGAAGACGACGACTACCACGAAAATGAAAACGGTCACCACAGACCCAGAGGGCAAGGCGAGAAAAAAAAAAAACGATGAAACAAAAAAAAAAACTATAGGGAAGGCTTATAAGGTATGGTAGTGATTAAGCTGAAAGCGTGGTGGCCGCCGGCCCCTGGCACGGGAATGGAATCAAAAGGGCGTATCTGCCTCGTGCGCGCGGAAGGAACAACACGCCATTCTTCGTGGTTCGCCCACAAAGGGCGGGTATCCCAGCAGCAGCAGCAACAGCAGCACCGGCGACACGACCAGCCAATCCCGTCACCGCCACCACCAACAACAACAGCATCACCGACAACGAAGAAGAAACCAACAAACAGCAGCCCAACAACAAGCGCCCAGTCACTCGCGACGAACCTCTTGCGCCTTGACCTCGAAGCGCTGCCCCTTCCCGGGGGACTCCACGACGACCCCCGTAACAGACACCGAGGCGCCCGTCGTCAGCCTCTCCACTGCCGCGTAGGTAGGCACGTCCTGCGGAATGACCACCTGACGGAAAACGGAATAAACCGTAGAACAGGCCCGAGGATGCCCGCAGAACAGTCCAAGAACCAAGAACGAGAACGGCATCGATAGGTATTAGCATGTACTTTCGATGCATTCTTTGATGTTGCCCATGGGGCGAAAAGAACCCACCACTCGCCAGACTTCTTGATAGAGTTTCCCCTGCCGAACCTCTTGCCTTGTCTTTGCTGTGCGGTGGACGGTTGCCATATGCGTTTATTGTACGAGCCTTTCTCTTTCCTCACGGCTATCTCCCTCTGTATCTACTTTTGCTTTCCCTTTGCTGTGCCCCTTTTCTGTACGTGACTATCGGTGTCTTCTCTTTCCCTCTCTGCCTCTCTCACCACCATCTTCTCTCTCCCTCCTCCCCCCCCTCTGGCCCACCTGTACCCCCTTCATGCAAGAGCCGTCGTTAACCTCCACGAACGAAAAGGCCTTCTGGTCTCGCTTCGTGCGGACCCACCCCTTCACAGCCACCGTTTTCCCCAGCAAGGCATCGTCCGTCGCCTTCACCGTCATGTCACCAAGGGAAAGGTCGGGGGGGGAGGGGGAAGGAACAATCGAACTCGACATTCTTTTTCGGGAAAACGACATAACAGGGTATACCCTGGTCGAAAAGCGACACACCTCGGTACAGTCATTAACAGCAGTAAATGCACTCATATCATTGGTCAGCACCCAATTTCACCCCGGTGCGTCCGAAAAGGCGCAGCGTTTACCCTGCGGTGACTACTTTTCTCAACAACTGTACCCTGTTTTCGGAAATGTACCCTGACCTGACGGGGAAAGAGACCCTTCTCATCAATCATTTCCCCCGCAGGAATCTTCCCGATTCCTTTTCCCCTCCAACCATGTGATACCAAACGGCGAATCTTTCCGTCCAATAACAACCATGGCAACGAGGCAGGAATCAGTTTCCGCCCCTGCGAAACAACACCAACCATCAATTCTTCCGCTCTAAATCAACAATGGCCGGGCAATACCCCCGCACAATTGTTCCGTTTGGAAACACACACACACGCGTACAATACCCCGTGGACTACTGCTTGCTGCAGTCTTTATGCGAGACGCAAGGGCCACGCCATGAACGTGAGACCGATCCAGCATGGTTGACATGCAGATGCATGTGTGCGTGCGTGTGTTGTCTGTTGTGTGTCTCAATTGCGATGTGCCGTGTGTGCGTGCGTGCGTTGTCTGTTGTATCTCAATCGCGGTGTGTTTCTTGCTTGAACTACTGCTGTGGCAGCAGCGGTCACGGGTACCAGCCAACCAAGCCGTCCAATCAAATCGACCCATGTAGTAAGAAGACGTCAGGCTTCAGCGGGATGAGACGATGAAATACAACGCGAGCTCTCTTTCTTCTCTCTACCGACAGGGAGGGTGATTGAGTTGCACGACATAGCAGTGTCCTGCTGCTAGAGTAAGGATGAGACTCGTGTGTGCGTGATTGATGTCAAGGGCGTATCTGTGTTTGCTGGTCCTGCCTCTCCCCTCCACCCTCTCTGCGGGGGCGAGCTCGCCGCCCGCACAGCGCCACACATTGGCACATGCATCTGCATGTCAACCATGCTGGATCGGTCTCGCGTTCATGGCGTGACCCGTGCGTCTCGCATAAAGACTGCAGCAAGCAGTAGTCCACGGGGTATTGTACGCGTGTGTGCGTGTTTCCAAACGGAACAATTGTGCGGGGGTATTGCCCGGCCATTGTTGATTTAGAGCGGAAGAATTGATGGTTGGTGTTGTTTCGCAGGGGCGGAAACTGATTCCTGCCTCGTTGCCATGGTTGTTATTGGACGGAAAGATTCGCCGTTTGGTATCACATGGTTGGAGGGGAAAAGGAATCGGGAAGATTCCTGCGGGGGAAATGATTGATGAGAAGGGTCTCTTTCCCCGTCAGGTCAGGGTACATTTCCGAAAACAGGGTACAGTTGTTGAGAAAAGTAGTCACGGCAGGGTAAACCCTGCGCCTTTTCGGACGCACCGGGGTGAAATTGGGCGCTGACCGGTGATATGAGTGCATTTACTGCTGTTAATGACTGTGTACCGAGGTGTGTCGCTTTTCGACCAGGGTATACCCTGTTATGTCGTTTTCCCTTCTTTTTCCCCGAAAACGTGTGCGATAACATAAAGCACGCCGTTAGCCAAAATGCCGCTAATGCTGTTCACATCTCGTCGTTTGCTTGTACCGGGACTAGTGGCCCTCGGCAGCGCCGGTACAATGTGCCCGCCACATTCACAGGTACGATAACCGACACCGGAGCTTTAATATATGACCATCATGACTATGCCAGTGCCCGCACTACTGCGGTCCGTCTGTGGGGTGCGATTTGACCGACCCGGTACACATACCGGGTTTGCACTATTCAACCTGCACTAGTGAGAGGCCGCTATTGTATACCGAACTCATGGCTAACGACGAATTCCCTGTGTCTCCCCTTCGCAGTCGTGCATAGGTGGGAACAAAAATTTGACAAGTTTAGGCCGAACAGCACTCGTCTGTTGGAGGTTGGAGGTAACGACACAGCTCGAAAAGGCTGCGGGCGAGATGCGCGGGTCAAACAACGAACTCACATAACCAAGGAGCGCATCAAATTAATAAGCGCCCTCTGCCCGTCCCCTCGTGACCCCCTCACCTCCATTATTGCCTTGACTCTCGTGCGTTTCGCCCTTCCTCCAGTCCCCGCCGCCAGAGCGGCTGCCCCTGCGCCTCCCGCTGCGCCCTCCCCCGCGCTGGCAGCGATCACGCCCCAAACGTACAAAACAAACAAGTTGGTCGGTGAGCGGGCAGCACTCACTCCAAAGGCGCACGCATCTAAAAAGGGGACCCGCACGTGAACGCCAGTTGACCCCCCCCTCCCAGACTACAGCATACCTTACGATGAATGTTAATGTTTGATTCACCAGCTCGGGATACACAGGAGGACGGTGAGCACGAGATTTCCTTCTTGTCTCCGCCTTTCCTCCGCTGCTGTGCTCGTCTTGATTTTTCATTGCGACAAGGGCTCGGCTGTCACTTCCGCTCTTTTTCGTCACTCACAACTATATGCGCTTTCCACCTGAACACTGCGAGTTCCATGTATCGCTTTGGAGATATACGAGCCCACAGCCTAGCGCCCGACGGCGTACGAGGCTCCCAACTACACCAACGACACCACCGGGGCGACGGGTTGCGACCATATGCACGGTACCACCATATCTACGGCGGAACATGCCGCGCCGTGGGTAGCTGCAGCCAATCAGTCAACAGGTACACTTGCAAGACCACGACAATACATAGAGCATTGTCAGTACAGCCTACCACCGCAGAGCAGCGCTACTACCGTCTACCTGGCGGGTGCTTCGGGAAGCGTTACCCCTGGAGAGCTACCCTCGCTCATGGCTATCAAACTCCGACTCCTGCCGCTTGCCGGGGCCGGAGTCTGGAGCCGCCCCCGCCTCCCGTCGTAGAAACTCCTAGCTTGCCCCTTCCCTCTCGCTCCTACCCCTGTTAACAAAAACGAGGGGGCTCGCGCTCCCGTTGCCGTGATGGCATGATGGACGAACCCGAACCCGGCTGAAGGTCGCCAGGCTGGGGAGGGGGGGTAATCTTTTGTTTTGCATGCCGTAGCGATTACAATACAGTAGACCATTGACCTTACACGTCCTCGAGAGTAGGGGGTTTGGGGGGGGCAAGGAATGAGCATGGCCGCAGAACCGCAGGGTCCTGTGGTGTTTGTCTCCAAACAGAGTAGCGCATTGGCGACATATGTCGTTGCAAGAGGTTGACCTCTGTGGGTTCGGTTTTGCATAAGCTCAGACGCTAGGGATGAAGCCCCGGTACAGAGGGAGCCCGCCGTGTTTGGTTTACACTCGCCTTTTGGTTTACACTCGCTTCCTCCAAGATGGTCGTGAGCATGGGCCTGATAAGTTACACTTCATTTGCAGTGCGCTCTCCCTGTCTCTCCTTAACAGATGTAGTTTTTCGCGTGAATTGTGCTCTACTGCTGCTGCTCAAGAGGTAGTGAACGTAGCATTCAAGCAACTGGATTGCGTGCGGCAAAGCGTGGCTTCCTACAACAGCATCGCTGGCCCTTGTCACCGCCAGGGCTCTATAGGGTGTGTTACAGAGCGCCTGTTGACCGCAGCAAGGGCGGTGCTCGAGATGCTCCTTTCGTGGGTAGTTCGGGTGGAGAGGCACCTTTGTAACCGGATATGCACAGCGCCAACGCCTATTGTGCAAATGTTTGCTAAGAAACATGCGTACACATACTTTGCCGCAGGCTAACTGCCAAAACCCAGATATACGAACAGCCCGCAACATGCGATGGCGATACTTCAAAAATCGAAAACTATTAGCTGTTGTTGCTTCCAGGCGGAAGTTGCGGCAAGCCAACTCGAACTATATCCCACTACACTCACCTGTCGCAAGAAGCATAGCCACGGAGCCTGGACCCATCACGCAGAGCTATGTGGTGTGTGTCAGTGTGCGCGGGGGTGGCGGTTCTGCGGACGGAAAGTCAACCCCCCCAAGACTGACAAGGGGGCTCCGTGGATACTCTAACGCTCGCGTTTTGGTTCGAGATGTCGTAAGTTCCTCTTCACTCACCTGAACCGTCACAAATACGCACACTCAACGTGCTGTAAACTCTTTGTTTATTGCGCGACGGCTACTCCCTTCTCTAGTATATACATCACGACCCTTTCACAGCTTTTGCCATGCCTTCGCCCACGCCCCCCTCGACCATCAGCATCAATCCTGGCGCTGCTATCAGTGACACGGCGCCGGGTGCGGCGGAATTCTCCTCGCCGATTGGGTCGGCAGGGACAAAGTGAGACACACCGCGTCTAGATCTGGTACCCGTAAGTTCTCACGTGAGTGCGGCACCTCGCGTTTCGATGTCCTGGATGACCCCACGTCAGATGTGCAGTCGTTAGTTGAGGTTTCCCCTACAGATTTTTCTAGACTTTGACTCGTTCGTCGTGATCATCCAAGCAAGCGTACCTGTACGTATACGCTTCGCGTTGTCGTTGTTGATGATTGATTGGCATGTTTTGGCCCGAACTAGAGAACTGCTGTACTAAAGCAGATGTCAGGGGTATAGAGTTTGCATCATCCTGTGCCTCCGGTTTTGGGACACAAAGGGTTAAATGAATGAAAAAAAAATCTGCTACAGCAGTATGTCGTGTTGGCATTGATTCCTGTAACATACGCCGCCGTTTCGGACCTTTCATTCAACAAGTCGTGGTGCTCTGTTGTTCAGCAAGTTTAGCCGAGAAAAAATCCGCGAAGAAGGCTCGATGACCGCGTGCACCAGGGGCAACAGTACGACAATTTGTGTCAACCAAGAGACGGAACCGGTGGCTGAGTGTTACGTTTTCGCGCCGTGCTGTGATCACACCCACCCGATGACAAAGCGGAGGGAGGTGCTAAACCACGGAACGAAGCCTTCCTGTACTTCGTCGGTATACATAGCTGTTAGCGCTCCGCCTAGCGCCAACGAATAGTTATTATGGTGGAGGGCCTTCAATACCCGTCCTTAAATCCTGTCTCGGTTAGATCATTTCTTTTCCGGTTGCATACGTGTGCAAGTTGATTTGTTCCTGTTCACAACATACGATAGACAGAGGTGACATCCAACCAGTCACAGGTACAACGGTCGCCCGGGTGGTCTAGTGGGTACCCTCGCAGCCCACTAAGGGTCAGGTCATGGGTTCGAGTCCCGCCAAACTTCCCTTCTTCCCCTCGCTGCCTCGGCAAGGTTTGCTTAGGCATGACCCATAGTGAGGGGGGGGGGTCTTTCTAGCGAGCAGGGCTAGACTCACCCTCAAGGGACCGACACCTTCTTGCTGCGGCGCACCTGCCGCGAGGCGTGCGTAGTGGTGGAGTTGGGTCGGCACTGGTGCGTCAGGTACAAAGAAAGGTGCAGATGCGCGGGCCTCCATGGCCGTCGGTGTAGGCAGCAATGCCCAGCTCATCTTTGGGCGCGGAGGCAGACGCCATCAGAGAGGTGGACGGACATTATGTACACGGCCTTAGGTTTGCAAGAGGGAGCTGTACTGTCGCAGTAATCTGGTTTTGCCATCAACGGAGGAGGGGACAGGTGGTGAGGAGCTGATTGGGCTGGTTGACCCTTCGGCCCGAGAATTTTCAGACCAAGAACCCTAAGTGCAACGAGGGAGTTAGTGAGGAACCGACTGGGAAGGACAGCAACGAGATCGTGTACGAACGGAACGGGTCGAGTTTGGTCGTGCTAGGACTGGCCACAGCGGCACCGGAGAAGCGGCACCGGAGCAGCGGCACCGGAGCAGCGGAGTCGGAGCATGCGGACGGTATCGAACCGTGGCGCACGGACAAACATCTCTTGTATTGTCAATTATTTTCCGTTTTTTCCCCGTGACTATAGGTGTTGGGTGTGTGTGATGACGTCACTGGTTTTGTAGAGAGACGCGACAGAGATGGCGCGGAAAACCNGGCATCGAACCGTGGCGCACGGACAAACATCTCTTGTGTTGTCAATTATTTCTCCGTTTTTTTCCTGAATACAGGTGTTGGGTGTGTGTGATGATGTCACTGGTTTTGTAGAGAGACGCGGCAGAGATGGCGCGGAAAACCCGGGTGCCTTAATTGTGTACCTGCATCGTGGAAGATCCCTTCAATGTGGAACGATTCCTAGTCAGTGCCAATGTTTACACTGCTGTGTCTAGCACAGATGATCCGGATAGATTCGGGTGATTGTCAGTTGCAATGATGGGTTTGGTTGGTTGGTCTTCTTCATTGTATCTCCACGGACGCATTCTGACAGCACCTCAGACAGCAGCTGCATGCCCCGAGCTTGTGTACGATGCTTACCATGGTGTTATTATTGTACAGACAGCACTTCAGACAACAGTATGCTGTAGTCGACATTCATATTGGTAAAGTGCGGGACAAGGGGGGGTGATGCTGCTGCTGTAGTCGAATTGTAGTGTGTGGGCGTGTAGTTCAGTTTTGAGCACGCAAACGTGTNTCCACGGACGCATTCTGACAGCACCTCAGACAGCAGCTGCATGCCCCGAGCTTGTGTACGATGCTTACCATGGTGTTATTATTGTACAGACAGCACTTCAGACAACAGTATGCTGTAGTCGACATTCATATTGGTAAAGTGCGGGACAAGGGGGGGTGATGCTGCTGCTGTAGTCGAATTGTAGTGTGTGGGCGTGTAGTTCAGTTTTGAGCACGCAAACGTGTTGCAGGGATTGTAGGTGTACCTCTTCGGGCTTGTGTACCCTTTTCTTGCTAATGGTGTGCGTGTTCTTTAGATCTTCTGATGGCTCTAGCATGTTTGTGACCACGAACCGAGTCTTTGCTAGATTTTGGGATTAGCAACTGACACGAGTTTAATGTGAAGACAGTAACAACAACAAGATTGAGTTTTTCTTACTGAAATAACTCCTGGTCTCAGTTGGAAGCGACGCGCTGCAAAGCTCGTTGTTATTAAATAAACTTGATCGACTTCGTAAGTCGCGAGGGAAAGGATTGCTGTGCCCTTCTCGCGACAAAAATATATCAGGCAGGAACCGCACGAGGGGGTCCAGCCCCCCCTCCTATGTGACCCCGGTTAGTTCTTCTAGCTAGTAGAAGTGGAGGATGGGGGCCAGAGGGGCAAACACCAGAGTCCAATACTTGGGAAAAAAGTGAAGGTGGAACGATGAACGACGAACGAGAGAGAAATCCTCTTTTCGTGCGTGAAGCTTCCTCAGCATTATAACCTCGACACAGGAATAACAGGCAACTAAAATTAGCCCTGTGGCGAGGGTCCAACCTTCATCACATGCACCACCATCTGGACTCCCCAAAACGGGACTTTCCAAGACCACGATCGATGACTGACGTGCTACAGTAGCAGCATTTTCCCTGGGTCTGCCATGTCGATACTGGCGTTGACATTGTGAAAATAAACGACCCGCTTTTTTCTTGCCCCCCCGCCTTTGCTTTATTCTGTTTTGGCTCTTCTTCGACGGGGATCACCATCAGGGTTACTTTTGGAACGGGCGCATACGTGGCGCCGGTCCCTTCCCCTACCGGAAATATCCCCGCAGCTGGGAACAACAACAAGTGAATGAAGCGAACCACCACCGTACTTTGCTCCAAAGCAGCAATCGACGACGTTGCCAGCCAAAGGATATTCAACGCGTTTCCGAGGGCATTCCGTTAGTTACCGGGATCCATGAGAGGAGGTACAAATACACTATGCCTGGGTGTGGCATTTATGGTAAAATGAGGCATCCTACTATTATAGTCTACTGGTCAATGCGTTCCTTCCTTCAAATGAGTCAGTCTATTGTAGGTCGTCGGGTTTGCGCGACAAGCAGTCTAGAGATTCCCTCCGTGCTGCTGTCTTGTCTGTATGTAAGTGTGCCCTTGGTCGCGATCGCGGGTTTCCCTGCCGTACGTACAGGTTGCAACGGATCCGTGGTACAACTTGCAAGTTTCATGTAAATATTCGTTTTTCGGATGCTCCATCTCCGGTGTGAAGGGTCATCCTGATGAAGAACTTTGCATAAGAGCACGATCCAGAGTGGGAAAAACAAAATATCTAGAATTTATATATCCGTATATTCCAGTCTCTCGACGTGGATTCACCTCATGCGTTGCGAAGCTCTTGCGTCATTTGTCCGTGAAGTCGTGTGGGTGTGTCCCTGTGCCGTATGGAAACCTTACCAGACTGGGAGCAGTTTAGACGTTCAGTCTTGACTAATTCTGCCTGTACGGTGTAATCTGTTGACGCGGGGGGGGCGTTTTCAGCTTGTAGGTCATTCTCGTCTTCAGGTGAACACAAAGACAGTAACTACTGGTGTTTGTTAAGTTTAGCAGCGAGGAATGCGGGTTTTGAGAACCACGAGCACAACTCACCAAAAAAGCTCGAACAGGGCCGGCCGGCACATGGGTTCACAAGAAAGGACACCAATGCTGCTCGGACTACCACCAAACTTCAGGTCAGCAGGGGCATTTACATCTACGATTCGTCGCATTTCCAAACGTCTCGTGTCCTGCGATGGAACGACCACGCTCAAAACTCCGCTCATGCGTGCGGCTAGCGTCGTCAATGCTTGATGGCTCGCATCATACGTTCGGCCCATTGTGTCCTATGGGGGGCTCCAGCAAGGGAAACCTAGATGGGGTATCTACACAACATGTACCAAAAGGAACGGGTACCACCAATTGAGAAATCGGAGTTACATGGTAGCACCCGTTCCTAACCATTTGACAGGGAGCGAGGGAGGCGCATACCGGTAGATGCCATTTTGTCTTTGGTGGCTACGCAGATGCTTGATATCGTAGGACATCAGATTTGTTTTTGCTGCCGAAGAGGTGTCAGCACAAGCTCGCCCGACTACGAAACACCCGCCCGCTGCTCATCCAGATCCCAACTGAAAGCCGCCCTGTAGGAACCCTTTCCCCATGCGTGAAACCCAACGCCAACGCAACCCTGTCAGGCGTTTTCCATGACACACAAACGGCGGTGACCAATCATCACTCATATTGACAGCCCGCACCGTCGGTATCACTGGTGCAGTCGGACGCATGAACCACGGCCCATACACACACATTTTGCATTCTGGGATTCATAACACACGGGAGCACGCAAATGCTAACGGGTAAATGACCCCTCCCAACAGGACGAGTTCCACGCATTCATTTAGTGAGGGTGCCAATCGTAAACGCCTCGAAGACACACATATCCAAACATGTCAGAGGTAGTCTGTCTGCAAATATCCCAAAGGTTTGCCCGCATCGAGATTCGTGTCTCGTGTGACGACCGCGGTCGACTCTTCGGCAAACCTTCCATCCCCCAAGATTTTGTCTGGCCGATTGACCGTGGACAACTCCTACCGCCCCAAGGACCTTCGGTCATCTCTGAAACAACAAGGTTTTCTTGACCAACCAATCAGAAAACTGGGTACTTCTCCTAGGGAATGCAGTTCTACGCAAGTGAACCGAACCGTTTCTTGGTTTCGCTCTTCTTGCGGGCCATTTCTGCCGCCGCCTTTGCCTTGGCCATCGCGTCGTGGTCACCGCCTGCATTCGTGTGCACGGGCCCGAACCAGAAGAAAGCGTGAGGACGGCGCGTGAGGGTCGGGTACGACACGTTGCACTTGAGCGTAGGTCCACATTGAAATGATAAAAAAAAACACTGTTCGTTTCTGTGTGCTGGTAGCGCGGTCAATCCAACGTTAAACAGGTATACAAATTCCACCGGATTGGCAGGCGTACGAAGCGCCGCCGTCTCAACTCCGGCTGAGGTTTATGTGGCGTACAACACTGATGCAGCCGCCGTCTCAGTTTTGGTGGCGCATTCCCGTGTGGCGACCGCCCCAGCGTCTTAGCGTTTAGAACCAGCTTAGCTCATCAGGTGTCAATAGCTCGCGTGGGTCGAGACAACACACACATTCTTGAAACGCTCGTAACCGCCTTGTGTGATAATATCGGCACGGGCTGCGACTACGGCGGCAGTGTAGATGTGGTTCAGAAAGTGATGCGTTGGTCAAGACGACAACAACAACCACACAAAAATCAACGCGGAGCAACAATCACGATGAATGCGCCCTCAAGTATTCACCCAAGGTCTACGTCTCTTCACAACAGAGTACAAAGAGATGAAACCAGCCCCATCCCCACTCTTCGTGGCCAAGGGTCCAACAGCCAAGCACGCAAAACACGGGTACTCCCTTTCTGCAGCTCGACTTGCTCTCAGCCCTTTTTCCTCTCCCACCTTTTCCGGCCCACGCGTACAGCCCTCCCGGCCCCGTGTCCCTGACCTCATAGTCGCTCACAGTGGGCACGAGCCCCATCTGCCGCGCGGCCTTGACCGTACGGGCCACCTTCCGCTGGCACTTGGCGCAAAGGCCCGTGCGGTAGCGTCCTAGAATCATCCCGGCATCGTTCACAAACCTGGTGGATCAAGAAACACACATGCGCACGAGAAAATTACACTGAGCCATTCGGGGGGGCTTCAAAAGCTTTTCGGTCGACCGAGTTCCGAGTGTCGCTGTCGCGAAACGGGTAAAGGGAGAGATCGTCATCGGGTCGCCGACGGAAAGGCTGCCGCAAGAAGAGAGCGCGTCCGTCTCGGTGGCGTGCGGCCATCCGGTGCGGAGATGAGGGCGGGAGGAGAGGGGCACCATCGTCCACGGCTGCAAGGGTGCAGGAAAAACGTTGACGACACCGCTGTTGTCTTACCTGCTCATGAAGGTATGGCTGGTTTACGATGGCTCACACGAGAGATAATCCCGGTTCTTCGGATATCTCACAAGAGTACTCCAGCAGATTCCATGAGGAATCCACTTGGGGATGTATCATCCTTAGCACCGCACTCCCGAGGGCCAATACACTGAGGCGCCGTGACACTACATATCTTCATAGACAACACCACGCCCCCACCACGTGTGATGGTTCACCCTGGTGCTCAAATGTGTATTGCCAAGGGTGTGTGGCACCTTGAGCTACCTACGGTACGGGGTGCCGGTCGTTGTCTTGTGGGTAAGGCGTTCGTCTCACCTCTTGAGCAGGGGAGTGTGGTTGACGTGCAGCTCCTTGACGTCGAAGATCTCGCAGGTGGACGGCAAGGCGGCCTTGCCCTGCTTCTTGCCGGGGCACCTGAGTGTCCGGGAAGAGGTGCGATCGCGTTCGAGCGATTTCCAACAGAGGAGGACAAAGCATTGGCGGAGGCACCAAGGATGTTGAAGCACCGCGCCACGTAACGCGGAACAACTGTGGTTCTGGGCAGCATACGACGACGGCAACAAGGTCAAAAGTGGCGTCCTATCCATGAAGTACCCCCCCCCCCCCCCCCC